ATGATTGAATGGGGTATTAGAAGGCAAGAACGTCTCCATTATCACTGGAGGCCAGGCCTTCGTTGTGTTGGATCCAATTTAGGAGAGGGGAACCTTTTAATTTTACCAGGGAATTATCACAGCAGACTGTCCTAGGCATGTGATGCACAGGCAGGCTGGTTTGGATAAAATACAAGTAACTTCATCCAAAACTTTACTGGAGGCTTGAAAGAGTTTGGTTACCCCTTAAGAGCTAGCCTTGAGTCTCTTCCTTTGGGGCTGAGTCTCTTCCTTTGGGGCCCAGTCTCTGCATGAATCTTTGGTTCTAAGGATCCATCTCTTGGCTGCTTGGTCCTCCCTCAAGCCTGAACTGGACAGCCAGCCATTTGACCAGTGAGTTGCCAGCCCTCCGCTCTCCCCTCTCCATGGCACACAACAGTTAGCTGCAGGCTGTACACCTAACAACCCAAGGTAGCTGTTGTAGAGAAGAGGCAGCTAGCTCATAAAGGTGAATCCTGGTGGCTGCTCCCTCTTGCCGGTGTTCACTGGTGCTGCTTAGTCTCCTGGCCTTACTCCTTTCCCGTCCCAGCTGGGCTGAGGTGAAGACCTGATCAGGCTTTCCTGTACTGCAGCTAGTTTATTCTTGCAGCTCTTCTTTAGTTCCCAGGCCACTTCTCCAGGTAGAGTGGACGTTAGAGAAGATCCCAGTCTCTAAGCTCCCTTGGGGGCAAGAAATGTGAAGTGCCCAGTGGCAACAATTGACTGTGAAGTTGGGCAGAACTGGTAGAATCGTAGAATCATCGATTTTAAGGTCAGCAGGGACCATTATGATCATCTAATCTGACCTCCTGCACAATGCAGGCCACAGAATCTTACCCATCAACTCCTGTAACAACCCCCTAACTTATGTCTGAGCTATTGAAGTCCTCAAATTGTGGTTTAAAGACTTCAAGGTTCAGAGAATCCTCCAGCAAGTGACCCGTGCCCCACACTGCAGAGGAAGGCGAAAAACCCCAATGGCCTCTGCCAATCTGCCCTGGAGGAAAATTCCTTCCCAACCCCAAATATGGCGATGAGCTAAACCCTGACCATGTGGGCAAGACTCACCAACCAGACACCCAGGAAAGAATTCTCTGTAATAACTCAGATCCCACCCCATCTAACATCCCATCGCAGGTCACTGGGCATATCCAGTGATGAGCTGCCAGAAGCTGAAGAACCGGTTCCTTCAGTCGATCCGAGCCTTCGGCGGCACTTCGGTGGCATGTCCTCCAGTCGCTCCAGGTCAGACCCACCGCCGAAGTGCCACCGAAGGCCTAGAGCGAGTGAGTAAAAATTCACAGGAGAGCCTCCCAAGCCGACAGCTCAGGTGGGACGGACAGGACAGTCTGGTGGGCCGCATGTGGCCCGTGGGCCAGAGTTTGCACACCCCTTTAACAACCGGTTCTAAACCGGCTTCAAAATTTAACAACCGGTTCACACGAACCGGTGCAAACCAGCTCCAGCTCACCACTGGGCATATCTACCGCTAACAGTTGAAGATCAATTAATTGCCAAAATCAGGCTATCCCATCCTATCATCTCCTCCATAAACTTATCAAGCTTAGTCTTGAAGCCAGATATGTCTTTTGTCCCCACTGCTTCCCTTGGAAGGCCGTTCCAGAACTTCACTCCTCTGATGGTTAGAAACCTTTGTCTAATTTCAAGTCTAAACTTCCTGATGGCCAATTTATATCCATTTGTTCTTGTGTCCACATTGGTACTGAGCTTAAATAATTCTTCTCCCTCCATGGTATTTATCCCTCTGATATATTTATAGATAGCAATCATATCTCCTCTCAGCCTTCTTTTGGTTAGGCTAAACAAGCCAAGCTCTTTGAGTCTCCTTTCATAAGATAGGTTTTCCATTCTTCTGATCATCCTAGTTCACATTGGCATGGGCATTTGGGGGTCTATTAGGCTGTTTGCTGCATGTCACAGTTCTGCTTCTGTGATTTGGCAGATGCAATTGTGTCTGGGAGGAAGGTTCCCTTGGCTGCTTTTCTGTCTGCAGTGTAGGTCTGCCAGTGGTTCTTTGTCAGTAGGCCAACTGTTCTTGGACTGGGGCTGTGTAGGTTTTATGCCCCTTTTGCCTTCCTGCTTCATTTCATGTAAGTTCTTCAGAGAATCACTGTGACTTGTGGGAGCCATGGGGGTATTTTTCAACTAATTCATCAGTCACTTCAGTCAGCAGTTGTTGGTAATCTTCCATCAGATTTAACATCTTGGCCTTGCCATTGTTTGTCTGGGGCGTTCTGGATGTTCTCTGGGATTGGGTATTTATGGGGTTAAATTTTCCTCCCTTGTACCAACCTAAAAATCTAGGAGTAATGGGATGAAATTAAGAGAGGGAACTCTTAGGCTGAGTATCTGGAAAAGCTTCCTGACATTGATCTCTACTGGAATATGAAATAATCTCCCAAGAGAAGTGATGGAAAGCCCCTTCCCTAGAGACATTTAAAACTGGACTGGACAAAAGACTAGGGCACAATCTTGTACTGGCAGGAAGATAGACTGAGTGACCTGTGATGGGTTTTTGTTTTTGTTTTTTTTTTTTTTTTTCCATCTCTAGCTTTTATGATTCTATATATGGCATGACACAGGAAGTTCACTGAAGTGCTCTGCAAGAAAAACTGAAGCTGTTTTTCCTGCTAATTGTTGAATATGAGTCACAAATTCAAATGCTTAGCAAAATCCTTAGGTTACATTTCAGATTTACTGTTGCCCAGATGCAGCTTCAAAAGCTGCATTTGAACACGCCGAGACATTTTATTCCTGGTTCAGTCTAAATTTTGGAATACTATTGGGCGTGACCGGATGACACTATTTCAAATAGACTTAAAAGTTTTGTTTCATTTAATGGCTAGGCAATTAGAATGTGGAATGTGAGGTTAGTTGTGGTGCAGTTCTTTTAGAAACTTTTTGACTATCACTAGTATGTTTGTTTGCTCTCTGAGTCTCTCTGACTCTGTCTCAGCTTCTTAGGTGCAGAATTGCTGTCTCCAGCATATATCCAGGCAAGCAAACAAAAACATGACATGGTGTCAAAATATAGGCTATAAAAACTGTATATTATATTTTCATTAGTCATGCCATTATGTGCCATGCTTAGATCTCAGTTTTGTCTGGTTTATACCCCAATATCCTGAACAAGAGTCCCTTCTCAGTCAATCTGTGTAGCTCTTTAAACAATCAGAGAGGATACTGAGTGATGAAAGGTACTTTCTCTCCTTCTCAACACCAATATACCACTACATTGAGACATCTGGGACAATATGCATCATAGAGAAGAGAATCACTACCACTAGGCTGGCCATGGTTTTATAGAAACATTCCTCTTTAAATGAGCTTTTCAACACATTGTGCCAGTGTATTCACCTCTTTGTCCATGACAAAGTAATATAAATACCAGTGTAAAGTAGATATGGGCCTGAACCCAAGCCCTGGATATGAACATCCCCAAACTTTAGGGAAATTCAGATTCATATCCCAGTGCTGAAGCCTGCGCCCTATCTTTACATCAAATTTCCATAGGTTATCTACTGAAGTTGTAGAACAGCAGCCAAAGCCCTCCATTTCTCTATGCACGATCTCTGCTGGCCCTACTTTGCCAGGAAGGAAATTTTGAAGAAATTTTCTTGTAAGTCCTGCACTTTTAAAAGGCATACAGATTTACTGGAGACGAAACAGTCCATCATTCATCCACTCTCTCAATTCTGAAACCACTAGTCTTTTTTTTTTCTTTTTTCATTTTCACTCTATGAAATGAACCATCAGAATGTTTAAAACCATCTTCAACGGAAATTGCAAGAAACTGATTTTCCCAGCCAAAAGAATTCTTCCATATTCCTTTTAACTTACTGGATTTTCTTACAGACCCACAGCAAAGGAAAGGGAGAGCATGTGAAGAAAAATAATGCCAGACATGTCCCTTAGTATGAGCCTCAAATCTTTCCGCAGCTTTTTACTAGGCTCATCTAAGAGTTCAAATTAATGGCCAGAGTCAAATTCAGCATTTCCCCATAGGCCCTTTAATCTGGCATATGTCACAGCATATGAGGGCCAGTGAAACAGGTGATTGATTGGTACTTGCATGCTGTGATGGTGCCCAGGAAATAATCCATGGGTTTGAGGTCAGATTTTCCATTAAAAACTAACAGAAATTCATATGCACATTGAGGGAAGTGAGTGATAAATTGACCAAACCAGTAGGATGCAATTAAGAAATCAGATCTGGGCTGGAGGGGGTGAGTGACCCTGGGGATCTTTAATGCAGGTTTGTATAGATTGGAGTCCACTCTTTCAGCCCTAACTACTGTGACCCCAAATCTTCATCCTCTTCCACCTTAATACGCCATTACTACTACTTATTACTTATGGCTGTAATGACAGGATGTCTCATTACTGCCGCGTCAATCAGTAATAGCATCAGTCTTGCAGCGCTGTTTAGGAAGTAGAATTCCCTGCCGACGCATACCTCTCCTCTTTCCCCGCATCTTATACATACTGCCAGCAAACAGTAGAGGGCATGGAGAAGCACCATGTGTTGTTTTAGCATGCTGCAGTACATTAATTAATAGATCTGAAGCGTGAAAGCCTTTCAAGTGGCTCTAGAACTTGGCCTATATTTCTAATATAAGCTTTACCAAGATTTCTAGATCTGCCCAAGTCCCAATCTCTCTTCCCTTTCATTCCTTCACAGACCAGTTGCAGAGGTCAGTAATACTGAAAAAAAACTTGTTCAGGAAACTCCCAGTAACAACTGCCATTTTATTACCAAGCTGCCAAGAGGGGCCAAATGGAGAAAGAATGCTTCATGAGATGAACTGAGCTTTACTGGATAATAAGGCTTCCCAATCCAACTGAAACGTTAGCTTAGTTCAGTGTGAAATGCACGTTCCTGACCCTTTCTACAGTGAAGCCATGTATCTGATATATCAAACAGGAGGCACTTTAATGCAACGAACTTGAAAAAGACTTACTTGATTTCGGTTTGTCCCCCTGCTTTTCGGGCAATTTGAACCAGCTCTTTCCCATATCTCTCTTCTGCTTGTGCCCTGTTAACAAAATTCCTTAGTTATTTTCTTCTGTTGAGGCTGGGCCCATGTTTGCAAGAATGCATTTGTAGCCGACTCTAAGATGCAAACAACTCGTTTGTAGCTATCTTTATTCTCTCTCCCCAGTGCTACTGCTATCAAAAGCTCATCTAAGAAGACACCCACTGATGTCCTCCTCTGACTTTGAAGAAGCTCTTACCTGTTTAAAGAGAATACATTTTTGTATTAAATTGGCTCTTCTGTTTTTGCTTGGCTCATAGTTGGGTGGAAAAGTTGGACGATAAGTGAGTGGCGTATGCTTGGTGTAAACAAGTAGAGTCCCCAGCAGGTGCCCTTTTGCACATAAGTCCCATTTTCACAAGTGACTTAAACACTTCGTATCAGAGTGGTAACCGTGTTAGTCTGTATCCATAAAAACAACGAGGAGTCTGATGGCACCTTAAAGACTACCAGATTTATTTGGGCATGAGTCATAGTCAGTGATTTTATCACAGCAGCTGTTGAAAGGGCCTTGTTGACACAACGGGTGCAATTTTGCCACCTATTTCAAATGCAAACAAATTCTGTTCACATTCTGTTCTATGCACAAGGATGGCATAAGGTTATGGGGAGGATTAGGACAATGTTTCTTTGGGACAAACAGCAAACTTAACTCACTCATTTTACATAAATGCTATGCATGTAAGATTGTTAGGTCCTTCCATCCCTGTTCCTTTCAGTCTGGTTATGTCTTCAGGCTCTCTTCACAAAGGCTTAGAAACCTACCTTTTGTTTTAAATGAGAACTGCAGTTCTCCTTTATGGGGCCCAAACATTGATTCTATTAACAACTCCTGTAAGTCCCCTCCATCTTATCAGTAGTCTTGGTCAACCTATGGATAGATCCAGCACTATCAAACATGGGAATTCAAAAGTCATAAGTCATTCCCTCACCCCAGCCCCCAAAACCATGAGATTTAAAAAAAATGCATTTTGCCCTCTGATTTTAGGACCTTTAAAGGTTCAAATTCTGTGCAACAAATTCTGTGCAACATTAAAAAAACATGCATCTGAAGAAGTGGGTTTTTCACCCATGAAAACTTATGCCCAAATAATTCTTTAGTCCTTAAGGTGCCACCAGACTCGTCATTTTTAAAAAAAAAACACTTAGAAACCCAAGTTGCTTTTGGAAATGGGACTGAGGCTCCTAAGTCAATTGGGCACTTTTGAAAGTTATCTCCTTTATCCAAAAGGAATTCCCAGACAAGTGTATGGCTATTTGGCCTAACAGGCCCCATTAATCTTAGCCTCATTTCCCTGATTTGTCACTCTGTCCTTTGTTGTTTATCTGGCACAAGTAGTACACCAGGTGTTCTCCATATGGATTCAGACAAGTCCCTGCCACAATAAGATTATTTGATTGATTCTGTCTTTAAAGACACCTAGTTGCCTTTCAAATACTTCTCTGTACATACTTGCTGTGATAGGCCTTATTTTACAACCTGCTGCACTCGATTTCAGATTTTGAATACATTATTCTGCTGACATTTCACATCTTTACCAATGCCTTCTATGGTCTGCCCGTTTATTGCTGCAGTCCACCCCAAAGGTGAATGCCCTTTCAAAGTGGTGGTTGATGGGCACACTTGCGTATGTGCAAGTGGTTTTGGATCCTCTGGGACAAAAGGGAACTAAATATCAAGTATGGTCCCAGCAGCACTTCACTACCTTTGTTTAACACGGTAGATTTGCAAGAGATGCCTTCAAAGTGAAACTGACTAGACTACTTTAATTGGATAAAGTGAGAGGAAATGCAGAGTAAAGAGTGAAAAGTAAATTCATTTTTTATTTCTCTTTTAAAAATAAGAGATGGTGTCATTGCCCTAGATAAGGACTTCGGCTCCAATCCTCACCTGCGTTTGGGCTTTTTGCTCCACTGGAGCAGCAGCATAAAGCAGCCCCACAGCCAATGTATCCAGCCCTGGGATGATCACCCAAGTGTAGGCGAATCCTCAGGTAGCATAAAACTTGCATAGGGGCTCTATGCCAGAGGCCCCTCCTTGCATCTGGGGGAGGGGCATGGCTAGGGAAAAGGGTTGTAGCCAGGGCTCCCCAGTAATTCTCCACCTGCTGCAATGGCCCCTCGGGGCCAGACCTGCACAGGATCAGGGGAGTGTACAGCCATCTTTCTGCACATGCACCCTGGATGCACTGTGTGTTTTATGGCCCCAAATGAGGACTGGAACCACTTTATTATTTTTTAAGATATTAATTTTAACCTGGCCGTCTCTCTTTTTTAAATACAGAAAATATCTAAGTTTTCATTTGTAATTGCTGCCTTAATTCCACATACAGGAAATTGGCTCAAGCAAATGTGTATATTACACATACTCCTTGTGTTTTAAACTTTTGCAAAGCAAAAACCACAGCACAGTGCATTGCAAAACTACGAGTGCTTATGCAACTACTGGAGGCCCTTGGCAGTAATGCCATGTCAGTGTTCAAAAGAGGGTGATGCCTGGACTACCAAAAGCATTTTAAGTGAGAACTGGAGTTGCTAAGGAAGTATTGAAAACAGACATCTAAGAGCTTTGAGCCTTTACTGTTTGAAGTGGGATCTTGTCATACATTAGCTTATTGTGTCCCCTTGTATATGTGCAGCTCAGAGAGCAGATAATTTTTTTACATGGTGACAAGAGTCTTATTCTCTTCTCTCTAATAATGTTCTTAGAAGCCAGTTGGCTTATGATTTGTATGCAATACATGTCTGTTCTGAAGAAGGGGACTGTGTTTGAATAATAATAGTTGTACAGCAAGGAGCAGACAATTAGACAGTTTATAGTTCTCCTCCCTGCACATAGGAAAAGAGTGATTCATCTTTGTTCTGTTAAAACATTCTGATTCTTCTGTGATTATAGGCATGAAAAACTAGATAATCATCCATGAACAAAAACTGCATGGTAAATTGGGGGGTTTGTGATAGGGCTCTTTGTTTGTTTTGAATTGGAGATGGGGAATCTTTTAAACTCAGGTGGTGCTATGGTGACCAAAGGGTTTTGCCAGCTCTCATGATACTGCTGTTTTTCCGAAAGCCCCAGGTCCTGCAGTTGGGTGATTTGCATGAGACTCTCAGCTTACGTTTTTTTAATGAAAGTTGCACAGAATGTGAACCTTTAAAGGTCCTAAAATCAGAGGGCAAAATGCATTTTTTTTAAACCTCATGGTTTTGCGGGCTGGGGTGAGGGAATGACTTATGACTTTTGAATTCCCATGTTTGACAGTGCTGGATCTATGCATAGGTTGACCAAGACTACTGATAAGATGGAGGGGACTTACAGGAGTTGTTAATAGAATCAATGTTTGGGCCCCATAAAGGAGAACTGCAGTTCTCATTTAAAACAAAAGGTAGGTTTCTAAGCCTTTGTGAAGAGAGCCTGAAAACATAACCAGACTGAAAGGAACAGGGATGGAAGGACCTAACAATCTTACATGCATAGCATTTATGTAAAATGAGTGAGTTAAATTTGCTGTTTGTCCCAAAGAAACATTGTCCTAATCCTCCCCATAACCTTATGCCATCCTTGTGCATAGAACAGAATGTGAACAGAATTTGTTTGCATTTGAAATAGGTGGCAAAATTGCACCCGTTGTTGGTGTCAACAAGGCCCTTTCAACAGCTGCTGTGATGAAATCACTGACTATGACTCATGTGGCTTCCAAGAGTAAAGGTTTGGTTTGTCCCATCCCTCTTCTGTCCTTCTTACCAACATGCACTTGCATCACTCTTGGGAGAGGCAGCTTCAATGCATCTCTAGCCAAAAGTAGAGAGATTCTGACAGCTGCCGCAAGTGCACACATACTTACACATACAGGACTATGGGTAAGAGGAGTGGGTTGGAGGAGGGTGAGAATTCATGGAAACAACAATTCTGACAGATTTCTTCAGCTACTTGTTTCAGAATGGCTTTGAGATCAATCTTTCTCCTCCTTTGTGGAAAGTCCTTTTTGCACATACTGCAAGCCATGGTTAGGCTTATCCTGCAAATGATGGAAACCCCCCACCTCCACCCCTCCATAATCTCAATTACATATTATAATTCCTAGCTACTGCAGACACGTGCAAGAAAGGGTTTGATCTCCAGAAGTTTAATGAGCCACAAAAGTCACTTTAAATGGGTACAGTTCACCTAATGCCGTTATGAGACTGCTGCGGGATTGTGTGACACAGTAAAAGACGCTTCCATTACTGATCAAGGAAATCAACCTAAACCACTTAAATGTTTGTGGGAGACTATTTACATTTCAGTGAGTTAACAGCCTTTGGGGTAGCATGATACAGCGTATGTGGTGGCTTCAAGATGTTAAATACAGCCAATTAAAACTGGAACCAAATACTGAACAGAACTTTTCTAAGTCTCAGCTAAAGATGAAGGAGAAAAATGAGACTGAAGAGTGGCCTCTGTTTCTGTGTATTTTCTAAACCAAGAACCTAATGGCAACTACCACACGTTTCTGTGGGACAACCTGTGAGAAACAGGCTGCAGATGGACACACATGTGCACAGTACGTTCAAAGAGGGTCTAGGAACAAGGATCTAGTCCTGAAAAGATGGATGAATAATATGGTCAATCCCAGAATGCCTGGGAAAGGTCTACGCAGAGCTACCATACATACCCATGGTTACACCAAAAGAAAGATCAATTTTCAGTAATTATAGGAAATTGACCCACTGAGGCTAATAGCATATTATAATATGTGTAAGCACTGGCTTTCTGTGAACGAGGGAAAACAGTGATGTTTCGCTTCTGGATGTTAATAAAGAGGATTGATGCTTTAGTCAATAAATTGGGCGTGTGCAGTTAAGTATGTATTTACAAACACAGAACTGATTAGAGATGGGTCTGAGTGGAACTCGGGATGAAAAGTCCTTCCAAACCTCCTCCTATTGCACCCACCTCAAAAAAAATCTTGGGGAAAATTTGGATCTTAACTTTGAAACTCAGGTCTATCTCTACGTATAGTGCAACGGGAAAAATCCTGCATTGGTAGAGAGGGCTAGATGACTTAGTCTTTCCTCTTGCTCATGTCTATGATTCCTCCTGCAAACATTGTTTAACTGCATGACAAGGTGTAATTCTGACTTTGTTTATTTTCATTCATTTCATTTTTGGAAATATGTCTTAAATTAGCTATGCGGAGTGTGGGGGAGGGGGATGGGTCATCATTCAAATGATTCATATGCCAGCGTGGTATCTGACTTTGCTGCTAAGAACTCGTTGGCTCTCAGATCATTTCTGTACAGACTTCTCTATTAAAAACATGTATGACTCTACTCTCCAAATCAAATTCTGAAGTGACCCGCAGAATCCTCCTGCAGCTCCTGCAAGAGTGATCAGGAGTAGGCGAGATGAGTTCATAAATAGTTTTTCATACCTCCTTCACCATCACTTCTTACCTCTGTTTGAGCAAGTCCTCCACATCTTTTGTCATCTTTCTCCCATCCAACACTCGCTGGAGAAGCACCTCATAGCCCGAGTGTACAGTGAATTCCTTGCACTGAAATCACAAAGGCGAACAGTTGTGTAAGTTGATTAGCAGACACCATTCTCAAGTGCACTCGAAACCTACTGTAAGTAGTGCTAAGCAAATCAGTTTGGAAAAAATAAGAACTAACTTTAACCTCTGCCCAGAGTGTAAATCAACAGAACTTAAACAAAGTAACTTTTCAAAAATTATTTTTCTTACTGCCTCTCCATATAACGTTCTCACAAAAGGTGGGTGTGCTAACTTACTACGAGAGAGCCTATTCTTATGTTATTGTTGCTCTCCTGCAGAGCAGCAGCAGATGTTCCCAGGGTCTTGCAGGTCAGTTTCGAAGTGGTGGAGAAATTAGTGACATGGTGTCTGGGAATGTTCTAAGCATAATTTGTTTTATTTACACACATATATCAGTCCTGGAACAAACATGGTCAAAAGGCATGTAGGCAATTTCTTCTTTCAAGAATCTCAGCCCAACACCAATGCGTAGTTCCCAGGGAGCAACTCTACTCTAAGAATTGCCGCTAATTATAGACCAAGTCAGAGAGCAAACTCTCCTGCTGCTCACAATGTTCAAATATAACAATACACAGCATGTCTTTCCAAGACTGAACATTTGCTCGTACTCTAAGAAAGAACTTGGAAGACTAAATGTAAGAGTGTCACTTGGTGACACCTGCCATAACATGACATCCCAACCCATCCAGATGCAACAAGTACTGAAATATCCTAAAGGGAGGTAGTGCATCAGATCTCCAGCCCAATTTAGCTGAATGAAAAGGTCTGACAAGACCAGAATCTGAGATGTTTCTGAAAAGTTGGCATTTATCAGAAAGGGAGAAATGGTTTTGAGCACAGATCTGAAAGTCAGTAGTTCCTCTGTCCTATCTCTTACACAGACACCTGTTGTAACCTTCAACTGGTCATTTAACATCTTTGCCTCTGTTTCACCACATGTAAGATAATTCTTAGGTTCCTTCCAGGGCTTTTGTGTGAACTTTCTCTGGTTGTCAGATAAGAGTTGAAGCTACAAAGTGCTATATAGAAGTTAAGCATTAATATCTGAATTTCCAAACATTCAGAGGCTCACCCTTCAGTATCTATAAGGAATGCACATTAGAAGCTACATAAATAAAATTTTCAGGAAAATATGATTATTTTAGTCCTTATCACAGTCTGTGATGATGGCACATAAGAACGGCAATACTGGGTCAGACAAATGGTCCATCTAGCCTTGTATCCTGTCTTCTGACAGTGGCTGGTGCCAGATGCTTTTAGAGGGAATGCACAGAAGAGGGCAATTATAGAGTAATCCACCCCCTGTTGTCCAAGCCCAGGTTCTAGCAGTCAGAGGTTTATTGTCCAAAGTCAACTGGATTTTTTTCTAAAGCTTACCAATGGATTAGAGAGCTTAATTATCCAGCCTAACTCAGATGATCAACCAAGTTTATCGAATAAAATATTGAATTATTTTAAAGCAAAGATGTAATATAAAAATGAACCTAGTAATAGCTCCACTAACAAGCAAATAATGCCTTTTTGTGTTTGTTTTTGGTTTCTACTCTAGCTTCATGGGGCAGGTTTTATTCTGGAAATCTGTCAGTTCTGACCCTTAGCCCTTTGGAAAAGGACTTCATGATTTGTCCTCATTCAATAATGCTGTAGTCTAAAACTTCCATCAGCTAAGCCAAGAAAGTGATATACAAACACTTTCTCCAAATCAGCATTATACCTGTGTTTTAAACATTAAGGGTGAAATCCTGGCTCCATTGAAGTCAATGACAAAACTCCCATTGACTTCAGCAGGGCCAGGATTCCACCCTAGCTATGTAGTCAGAATTTCATAACCTTTAAGTATATTTGGAGTTAATTTTTATGCCAGCCATATAAGGTATTTCATTTGTACCTCGGCACATTAGATGTACTATTAGGGTGTTTTTCCTCCTTTTGAATACGTAATTTAATTATTTGGACGTTGATTTTGTGTTTGTTCCAATACAACCTCAAGCTGTTTGTCATCAGAGTATTGGTGGCATGAGAACCCATGGCATTTCCCTGTCTCTCTCCAGGAGGTCTCAGATATGCTGAAAAGGTGGAGAGACTATACTGATCACTGGTGGGTTACATTTTGAGTACTCTTGTGGAAGAGGAGCTAATGCGCACATCAGTTCTCTGAGAAGAACAGACAAAGGCATACCACTCCCAGACGATCCACTCCTGCCAGGGCTTCCCTGCAAGACAGCAACATTCTGTAATGCACTTTGTCTATAGAAAATTGATAGTCCAGTTGTAAAAGCCTGAAGAACTTGTTTCACAGCCATGAGGTTGCACTAGTGATTTTGGCCCATCTTAGTTTTTGCATGGGAGGCTCCATAACATACCATTAAAGCCTACACAGGAGAACAGCTGAAGTATTTTATCATCATGCCAACGTATCAGCTACTCTGTTTGAGCAATTCTAAAGATAATGCACAAGCTGTGAAGAATCTTCCCATCCCTAAATCCATCTCTCGCTAAAGTAGATGTGGCATCATAGGCTCTAAAAAGTTGCTGTGATGCATGGCTATGCAGTGAAATTGTAAGTGTGCACAGGGAACCTATGGAGTATTAAATTGGTCTGAAGCACTGAAAGTAGCTACCAAGAACCAGCTATTCCTTCACTGTTGCATGCAGTGATTATTTTATTTTGCATTTTTTAATTGGAGGCTTTGTAGTACCAGGGTCATTTTTACTTGCATTTGGCCACTTCTTACTGACTTGCAGATTTGTATGGAAGTGTCAATGGGGAATTAGATTCACAAAGATATGGAGGGCCACCAAGCTAGGGAAAGTCCAGAAACCAAAAAAATGGGGGAGGGAAAGGGGGTCTATAAAACTGTGAAATGCTTAGAGCATAGCCCTGGGAGCCAGGACTCCTGGGTTCTGTTTCCTGGTTCTGCCACTGACTCATATTCTGGGCCCCATTTTAACTTTGAGTACTTTGGTTTATCTATCTCTAGAATGGCTATAGTATAAAAATAGGGTGCCATACATTACATGAGTATTACAATAATTAAATAGCAGTATTGCATTATGTAGCATATAAAAGCTTAAATGAGCTGGTGTACAAGCACATACAGGACATTACAGGCCCATCCCCAAATTGCTTACTGTCCAACATTAAGTTTGCAAAAGTATTCATTACCAAGGTGACCATATTTCCCTATGCTGAATACGGGGCACCTGGTAAAATTACTCGTATTCAAGCGAGTTCAACGGCAATCAATCAGAGCTATGCAGTACAAACATTCAAATTAACATCAAGTTGACTGAGCCCCATTAAAAAGAAATACTGTGTAGTTGCAAAAAGAAAAGGAGTACTTGTGGCACCTTAGAGACTAACCAATTTATTTGAGCATGAGCTTTCGTGAGCTACAGCTCACTTCATCGGATGCATACCGTGGAAACTGCAGCAGACTTTATATACACACAGAGAATATGAAACAATACCTCCTCCCACCCCACTGTCCTGCTGGTAATAGCTTATCTAAAGTGATCATCAGGTTGGGCCATTTCCAGCACAAATCCAGGTTTTCTCACCCTCCACCCCCCCACACAAATTCACTCTCCTGCTGGTGATAGCCCATCCAAAGTGACAACTCTTTACACAATGTGCATGATAATCAAGTTGGGCCATTTCCTGCACAAATCCAGGTTCTCTCACCCCCTCACCCCCCTCCCAAAAACCACACTGTGGCCCTGCTGGCCAAGACCCGGCACACAACAGGGGCTACATTGACAGACCAGCAGTAGGTGCGGCTGGCCCCACGAGCTGTATCCTCACTTCGCCACTAGCCTTACACACCCACACCCATCGTTGGCCACTGGACTCCCCGCCCCACTCACCACTGGTGGGTGGGCAGCTGGTGAGTGGGATGCAGCCAGCAGCAGGACCCACCAGTACTGATGCAGGGTGAGCCAGAAAATACAGGACAATTTGCTCGTTTTTATGAAAAAGTCAGGACATCTGCAGGAGGGCTTAAATACAGGACTGTCCCTTTAGAAGCGAGACATCTGGTCATCCTATTCATTACTCTTTTAGTTCATCATCTATTCACAGACCTCAAAGGATTTATCATTTTATAAATGCCTTGACGTATTGCCTTCCCACCAGAACTACCAAGAACTAGGTCCCTTTGGCAAGACTTGAGACTCTGGAGGAACCATCTGGCAACTAACAGCCAGATTCTTACGTTTCATTTTAAAGCAAATATACAGAGGCTTCAGCTACTGACTTTAAGAGAAGAGAATTGAGCGTCCTTCAGGAATGAACATCACAGACTGATTACTGGCTTGTAGCCTTGTGCAGCTGCTGTTATGCTTCTAAACTAAGGACTCTGGGTTTCAGTGGTTCTGAGCAGCATGTGGCTCCATGGATTCGGAAGCTTTTATTTCCCCCAGTGCTAAGTTTAACTTCTGTGGTTAATCTTTTGCTATCACTTGCACATTTACAAGCTTCCAATGCCACAGCTTCCTGACAGCGGCAGCTCCTTCCTCTCTAATGGAAACTTACAGTGAGCCCCGGGGTTAAGAGAAGGGGAGGAGGAGGAGAATGGCCCATACTAGTCCTAGACAAATGCCTCTACCAGCAAAATACACATCCTATAGAAACTGAGGCAAAACAACAACTTACATAGAAGATGCTGGGAAGGGGATGGTGAATCCATCCATGCCACTGGTGTAACCACAGGAAACTGATATTGTTAAAGATGCCCATCTGATCCTTGCCAGCAAGCTACACCCGACCACACACTAGCATTATTTCTGTTCTGCTGTTGTGGAAATATGTTTAACACCTCACATCTATTGAGTAGATAAAATCCTGAGCCATTGTCCCACTTATTAAAATAAAGAACAAAAAACAAACCTACACTTGCCATTTGAGGACCGAAGTAGGAGAGATACTTAGTAACCCCACTGACAGCTGATTGCCACCTGCTTTCGTGCAATGTCTTGAGAATTCAGGTCCTGATGGAAGC